ATTATATCATTCATGATCATCTTAACCTTCGTTCTCCAATATTCTTGTGAAGTTGTAATGATTATTGATGTATAGTATTCCGTCCGTAATAACAATATTTAAATGTCTGTGTCTAACTCGTGTTTAATTTTCTTGTGTTATTTTGTCCGAAATGAAAATATGAATAGATACTAGCTTAGATAGAGTACGTAGTTAAAACATGAAACTATTACGGAGTACTGATATATATCAACGTGGCTATTATTTAATCGCGAGTTGAAAGTACTCTTCTGAAGTTGTGATGATTAGTACTCCGTAACAACTTTTAAATGAACATGTCTAACTCGTGTTTAATGTACTTGTGTTATTTTGTCCCAAATGAATACAATACTGCACTAAAAAGATGAAAGATATGAAAAGAAAGGACAAAAGGTGAGTAATACTACAAATTAAAAGCACGCCGTCAAGTGAAGTTGGAGGGCCCCTCCCTTCCCCCCACTCCAAGTTCCTGTAATTTTGCAGGTAGTAGGCTGTCAGTTTTCATCTTATTCTCTCTCTTTCTCTCTCTGTCCGCACCAATTGGAAAGTAAGCAAATGAAAGGAGAGAAGTCCACGTGGCCCAATACAATGAGGGTGATTGTTTTATAACCATATTTTTTTCATTCAAAATTTCCAAAAATTTGCGATTGGTTAATCTAGCTCCATGAAATTGTGAAATCAAACAATTAGCACGCATATCACTTACTTTCTACTTGTACTAGAAGGTTTATCGAATTAGTGTTGTTAATCTATTATAGTGCAAATCATCAGCAAATGTAAACAAAGGACTTATTATAAAAATGCGTTAAATAGTAGGAATATTTTTGTGTTGATATAATTCATTTGAGAAGACAATGTTGCTATGATTGTATGGATAGAGTTTTAAAGGAGGTGATAGATGTTGGGGTCATGTTTTATATTGTATGTTGTACATTTGCATGAGTATGGAAGGAGATACATATATATGACATGCATATAAGGTATGGGTAAGGGCCGGGGGTCTTATACTCTAAGCTCTTGTATTTTCACTACATATTAATTGAAATTGACTATACATCTTTATTACTTTACGTTATTACTTCCCTAAATACTCCGTTGTATTTAGGGGTGAAACTAATGCGGTTTAAAATCGAACCAAACCGCAAACCAAACCGAATTAAAAATGTGGTATGGTTTTTTTCTAATATGATTCGGTGTGATTTGAGGAATCCCAAAATCGAATTAATATGGTTTGGTTTCGGTTTTAAGATTTGAAACATCAAAGACCAAAATCCAAACCGGATTATGGCCCATATCCAAATTATAGCCTAGCCCAATACTAATTTCTACCCTACATATATAAAGCCAAAAAATAATAAAACTTGTGTTTTTTATGTCCTAGAATGTCAACCAATGTGGGCGATGTTGGAGTGAATGATCAATTAGATGGAGCAAAAAGGAAAAGGATGAAAAATCTCGGTGTGATTCGGTTTTCTTTTGAAAAACCGAATTTAAAAGGTGTGGTTTGGTTCGGTTTCAATAGTAATATGGTGCGGTGTGGTTTGAAAAATCCCAAAACCGAATTAATGTTGTTTGGTTTCGGTTCGGGCTATAAACGAACCACACCGTAAACCGAACTTTCACCCCTAATTGTACTAGTAAAACATATATCTAAATTAGATGGAAAAAATTTAAATCTAAAGATAGATCGAGTTCGAAAAGGGTTTGTAAATTATACATAATATCTAATTAACTCATTATAAATCATTCATCATTAAGTTAAACACGTGTGAAATCGATCCAAATTCTCTAGTAGTGGAAGGATCAACTTGAATTTTGGTGCCTATGTTAAGGTCAATTTGATCAATCAATATAATATTATTATAACAGCTTCACTCACATTTAATAAGACTAGTTGTGGTTCCGCGCGCTACGCGCGCGGCACCCCAATGGCGGTGATTATGATTAGACAGTAGTCCTTTTGGTTTTTTTGGTTTTATGGCAATTAAGTTTGTGTAAACTGTACAAAGTGAAATAAGTTGTTTACAATATATTCTAACTAAATAAATTTAAATAAATATACTAATCTTTCATCTCGGTGCATGGGGTTGTTGTTAAGTTATAGCTGAATTTGTAGACTGCTAATAGCTTCGTTTAACATGTTGATTCTGTGTGATATGTAGCCGAAATAATATACTGTTGCACCGTCTCTGTAACATATTATTTGCCTAAGTACTTAGACAGTTGCTTCAAATGGTATTAAATAATAAGAGCATTGGTAATAAGATTTGTTATTATCTTCAATGACAAACATGAAGACTTACATTTCTTCATAATCTTGAGGAGGCACTTCAAAATAGTTAGTGAATGGGTGTCCATGTGCTGACTGCAATATTTCACCATATTTATCCACGTGATGAACATTTATTGGATTGTCTTCTTTTTCTTTATCCTTTACCCACCTCTTCCATCATCTACATAACAAAGATTCATTTTTCAATAAAGAAAAAAAAAATTCATTATCTATAAATTGTCGATCAAGTATTTTAAATCAAATCCTGTTAATCTAATTTCGGCTTTTTTCATCTTAGCTACCGAAAGTATTCTGGTCAACAACAACTAAGATGAAAGAAGCCGGGAATTAGATAAAGAAGTTTGAGAATTGTCGAATCAAAATGATGTAATTGGACCTACAAAGGTAAGCTATATTCACAAGTACCCACTATTGTTAATATGTATGCGTTTTTTCACCTAAATTAAATGGGTGCACAGAATAGGAGGAGGAAATGTTGGTTTAAGTAATATTTCATTCCTGAAAGTAAAGCTTAATTTAACTTTTTAGTGAAAATAATCTAAGAAAGTAGTGTATATGGTGATCATGTTATAATTATTATCTTTGTTTGATTTTGTATTAGAATTTTTCTTGAAACAATGTAAGAAAGTAATATATGCTGTTGAGTAATGCCGAAGCTTCTAGTCGTATAGTATGGCCGATACTTCATCCTCGAAAGTATTTGAGCTTATCACTCGCAAATTAACTTTGAGCTGCCGATATCAAAATGTTGTTGAGTCTAAGATAGAAACAACTACGAACTGTTGTAACCGATGTGTTGCTGAGACACAACTCAACTAAGTTCAGTAAGACTCAACCGATGCCAGCATTTTCTAATTATATGACCTCATAAGTTCCGTATGTCTTAGTAAGTGATACTTGCAGTGTGTTTCTTTTTTTATTCTTGCTATATCTTGGAAGCACATTACAATTATCATTTATTGAATCATGTTTTTTTACTTCATAACTCTATGTTTGATGATTTTGGTGTAGAAATTGAAGATATTTCAGGTAGGAGTATGTGTCTAGGAATGATCTTTTTTTTCTTAGCTTTTATTTTCTTTCTTTTTTTTACGGAGTTCTTGCATTGTTTTCAGTAGATTAATAGTAATGATTTAAATTCATGTCAAGATAAATGACGTTGAAAATTATTCTCGAGTATTAATTGTATTTGATTTTGAGTATTAAAATTAGTCAATTGTTGTTATTAATCAAATAGAATAAATTTATTTAATTCAGAGTATTTCGAGGATTAATTTAGGATTCAACCGTTATAGTCAAAATGGGTTGAGGAATATTATGAAACTTTAGTTCTATTCATATTTAGTCTAAAGATGGGTCAACCACGTGTATATACAATTAAAATACTTTGACAATATAGTATATGGTTATTATTAGTGGAATTTGATTGTATATAAATAGAGTTTTTTCTTAACCATAACATATTCAATATATTTTCTGTATCATAGAGATGTATAGTAACTTACCAAGTCATGTTGTTATGTTCGGAGATGCATGTAGAAATAAGTTGGTAGTTTTTTTTTTCGTTTTATATTTTATATATTATTTATAATATGGTTTTTTCTGTTTATAAATAATTTTGTGAATTTTGTAGGTATTTCCGGAGGATTGGACTGCCTCGTTAACCGGAGTTCATAGTCCTGTGGAAGTTCTTCGAGGCCCTAACAGTCGTATATGGCCTGTGCAGCTAGTGAAGGTTGTTAAAGATACCAGAAGCAATATGTGTTTTGATATTGGCTGGGAAGATTTTGTTAATGAAAATTACTTGGTTGATGGTGAAATAATGATTATTTATTATGCTGGTAATAGAACATTTTATGTCAGGGTGTTTTCTTCGACTATGGTTGAAAGATTTGCTACTATTGAACCTCTTCAAAAAGATGAGGATATATAAATTCATGTAATTTTATATTTGAACTTTATAAATGAAATATTATTGTGGCACGTTATTCTCCTCTATTTACAGCCTTTTGTTGCACGGTTACAATATTTAGGTTCGTTGTTTGTTTATTTTAAAATGTTCATTATTCTGTTAACTCCAGACCTTCGACTTTGTAATGGATGAAGTCAGAAAAAGGGTAAATAGTTATTAAAAAGTTGTGAAGAGAGAGATTAAAAGGGATTATCATCAATTGGTTGATCCAATTGGTCAATCTTAATTGTTAGATGTAATATAATCATATATTTTAAAATAATTGCAGGAAGTTTTGAGGTTTTCTTTTCTAATTCCACTTAAAAGTAAACCAAAGCTACTAATGTCGAAGCGTCGAACTTCATAACCGAAACTGATGTCGCCGATGTTCATGCTTAGTAAGTGATTTAATTGAAGCGGAAGTTTCAAGCCATATGTGTTGGCCGAAAGTAAAATTGTATTAGGTATAAGGTCGAATGAGAAGTTGTGATTTGGAATGAGGAGATGTAAATATAAATTAAAACATAAAAAAAACGATCTATAATTACAATAAGAAGATGTAAACATAAATTAAAACAGAAAAAAAACGATCTTTAATTACATATATATAAAATCAAACATTATTTTCTTAAATATAGAATTCACAGTACAATTATCGTAGAAATATATACTTTAAATTTTATTATAACCATACAATTTTATCCAATGCAATTTAATAAAATTTATAATAAAAACATTTTATGGGTGCTTATAAATTACTTGTCTATTATATTTCAACACCACCGATTCGAGTTTCTCCCTCTCCTTCTGCTTATCTTCTTTGAGCCTATTAATCTGTGCTATACCATCGGCTGTAACAGACTTTAATTGATTTAGAAATGTAATATAATTGACTACCACAGTTGGTGCTTCGCCAATTGCACTTTGTGAACCTTCACTAGCGTCCTTCAATATCCTATCAACCTCAGCCTGTCTACATAGAACTTCTCTTTGCATTTCCAAAGCGTTTAATTTCAAAACCTCCAAAATACGTTTATGTATTCTACAGAATCTTTTGTATTTTTCAATTGCTAACTCAACTTCTTCCTCGATCTCCATTGTTGTATAATATACATATAAAAAGATTCCTACAACATATAGTAAAACATAAGTTTAAGCATTATTATGAAACCTTACCTTTCTTTTAAAAAGTAAAATCATAGCACACTCATAAAATTCCAGATTCTTAAACTCTAAGTTGACACATTTGTACGCAAATTACAATCGCGTACAAAAACCAAATCATATGTCATGTAATCTTTATCTATAAACCTTACATAAAACTCCATTTATACTATATATTTATAATTGGTAAAACGTGTAGGGAAATTGAAATAATTTGGAATCAGAATATGAATACAAAAAAATAAACAAATTAACATAAGTAAAAGATAAATTATTCAAAATAAAGTCGAATAGTCATGTTAAAAAAAAACAGAAAATGAAAAGCAGAACCCAAAACACAAACAAACAACTTATAATTCAACTCTACTGGCCCCCAAAAAATATAGAATAAAAACAAAGAACGGAACTCAGGCAGAGGAAACTTGATCACGACAAACGAAACAAAGACAACTAAAATGATAGCACATAAAACTCACTGAAATAAAGAATGCAATTTAGGTTCGACGGAAGCAGCGAAGACGAAATAGATATGTCAAGAAGTTGCTATGAAGAAAGAAACGAACAAAATCCGAAGTAAATGATGAAAAGGTTTGAAGAGAAAGAGGAAAGGTCAGGACAGAATAAAAAAGGAAAGCACGAAAGAGCTAAATATATATAAGTAGAATATTGGAAGAACGTAATTAAATGAAAGTAGTAAGGGTAGTGAATAGGTATGATGATGGAGTGAAGAGGCGTGATTCACATAATAATTCAATAAATAAAGGCAATAAGTTTTACTACTTCATTTTTTTTGTGTTTTTTTTAATACTTGTATTAATTTATTTTTAAATTTTTTTGTAATTCCAATGTGAATCCCTATTTTCAATTTTTTTTTTTTTTTTTTTTCTGATTTACGATGTAGTGTTCTTAGTTTCTCTTTTCGGTGATGGATGGAAAAATATTTATTACGTACATTTTTTCATTTATATTAAATGGGTGCACAGAGTGAAAGGAGGAAACATTGGTTTAAGTAATGGACAAATTAATTTTTGAAGAGGAGTGAGAATGGTAAAAGGTCGAATGAGAAGTTGTGATTTGACAATTGAATGTATGTGGGCAATAAGTATTATTATAATATATAAATATGCATATGTTTGGTAATGGGGACGCGGGAAAGTATCTTGGAAACTGCAATGGTTAAATATATATATAGAAAGTTAGACAAAATATTTAAACCGTATTATAATTGTAGTCGAATGAACATAATTCGTGGTCTAGTTAATCTTGACATTATAACTTATGTAGAATAAAGCTATCAGATACCGATATACATATAGTCTAATGTAATATTAGGACATTTTGAAATAGTTACCGAGAACGTTGATGAAGATTTTAGAAAGCATATTCTTAATAATATTTATACTTTAGGATTATCATTTATTACGATGAAGGTACATTGATAAACCTGAATATTGATTTGTGCAATATTGAAAGTAATTTTGTAAAAGAAGTGTTCCCGTTGTAGGACATTGGTTCGGCTACTATGACGTTGTTAGTTTGTAGGTAAGACTGCTGATTAAAAGGTCCATAATTTCGATTGCTAATGACCGGTAAATTATGAATAATTATTTTCTTATAAAATGTATGGAAGATGAAATTGTAGATTATGAAATAATAGATGAAAGGACTTTAGAATGAATAAGTACGTTGTATGTTGGTGGATTAAATCAGATATATGTTTCGGTCGTTCATTTTGTTGAATAGACAGTACTACATTACGTAAGCATAAGATTTTATGTTTCGTCACTTGCCGATCTCACAGTGGTCCTTTTTTATGATAATTTGTTGTTTAATTTAATATCTGAATAAAAGTTATTTTGTTATTGGGTGATCATGTTTTGGTTTTTTTAAAATAAGTTGTCTACAATATATTTTAACTAAACAATCTTGATACATGGAGTTGTTAAGTTATGGTAATAATATTGCCGAAGTTGTGTACTATTAATAACTTCGGCTTTTTCTGTTGAAACTGTGGTGATTAAAGTCGAAATAATATACCGTTCTTTATTTATTTTTTTTATATACTTTTGTTAATTTTTATTTTTTTACAAAAAATTCAGTGTAAGTTTTTATTTTTAATGATTTTTTTTTAGGTTATTATTGATTTTTTTTTAATGTCTGGTAAATCATGAACGAATGATTGTTATTTCGGAGATGGATGGAATAATAAGTATCAGTGAAAGTATTTGGAACAAAAGCAGGAACAAAGACTGTAATATTTAATGAAAATACATTGAAAGTATTTTGAATAGAACCAGGAACAAAGAGCGTAATATTTAATGTATATACATTTAGATATGAATATAATAATTGCTAAACAAAAGGTTAAAGATTAAATTTACATCCTATTCATTCTCGAGCTTGTTTGAGGATCCATTATTTACTTTGTAAAAACAACTGTAATGCTCAAGAACGGCGATGGTGTTAGTATAACCGGAAACTGTAGAGTGCGTCTTTCGGAGAATGTCGGGCAACACAAAGTAATAGTTTTCTCCTCTATTCTCAAGGACGATGTTGGTATTAGTATAGCCGAAAGCTCTCGTCGAATTCTGTTTTCGGAGATTTTTGGACAACACAAATTAATAGTCAATTTCTCCAAGTTTGTTGCAGCTTTTAATACACACGAGACAAGATGTACTTGACACACGTTGTCCAAGAAGATTGTTACATGCTTTGAGATTTGATAGACAACCTTCTTCGGCTATACAATTTAAAGAGGTATCAATCCACTCAACCTGTAAAACAAATACCAAGTATATTGACACAATTAGATTCAAATTCATTTAATTTTGGTTACAAAAGGAAAATAAATAACGACATAATTCTTATGTACCTACCTCCTCGAATATCAATGATTTCAAGTTGGGAGTTTTTCTTAGTAATTCGTAGGTGCAACTTTCGGCTTTCACCGCCAAATGAGTCAGGTTTCCGAAAGTCGGTAATTCTCTCCCGTTAAGAAAAAGCTACGTCGAATTTAGATGAATATATTAATTCAAAACAACGTAACGTATTATATCAATATGTCGCCATTATAAGTTAAATAGAAATATTGTAGAAATATAAACTTACCCCAGAAGTTTTAAGTCTCAAAGATCTGACTTTGGAAGCCTTGCTTATAAGATAATTGATATTTTGATAAATATCATAATCACTTCCATGTTCATTGACCATAACTGGGAAATTTTCCCTAAGATTTAGATTTGCCTCGGTAAGCAAAGCTAAACTATCAACCATATAATATGTTATTTCATCATCAATACTAAGGTACTCAAGAATCGGTGCTTTAATGCTAATAATCAGAGATCTGCCCCAAGCCTGGCTCACGATATCAAAAATTTCTAATGATTTAAGTGTCAGAGACTCTACAAACAACATCTCGTCGAAACCAGTGCATTCCTTGATAATAATTGTTTTGAGAGTTGCACAATTTGATGTAAACCTCTTCATATATTCGCTACCGTTGAATTCGACTCTAACAAAGTGGACAATTTCAAGGGATGGTAGATGAAAAGACTCTGGTGTATCATTCATTTTCACACCCGTTAGTTTCAACATCTTTACTCCTTTTCCATAAATCATCTCTATAAATTTGTAACTTCGACTTCCGCCTAAAGTGAAATTCAAATCAATTTCATAATATTCACGTTTTTTTGCAGCATTCAACCATGATTCGTAGTAATCACAATCATCATCACATGAAAATTCATAACAAAAACGCTGCAAATAGAATGCATTGTTCTCAGCTAATACCTTGTTCACAAATTTATTGTAGGAAATTTTTGCCTCGTTGCACAATGGATGATAACCATCTGGTATCTCAGTGAAATCAAGTACGGGTACTTGATTCCACACTTTCTTCCATCTTTTTGACAATACACAGGTTTTTACAGTAGACTTTGTTGGTAGAAAAGAAAGTATATGACACAATATTGTATCATGTAAACTACTAATGTAATCTGTTTCTCCTACGGGATAACTGATGTCACTCATACTTTGAATTATAATTGTAAGAGGTTTAAATGGAAAGATGATAGTGATGAACGTTTTCGACAGAGAAGGGTAGTTTCTATAAATGGAGTACTTGACGGTTGTGTTATTATAAATAAAAGCAGGAGAAAAAGAGGAGCATAATAATTTGTTTTAAAAACTTTTCAGTTACCAAAACATTTATCAAATAGATAAGTATTGGAAACTTAAAAACGTAATAATGGAATGTAATTGGATGTAAAATTTGGATGTTAGAGTGAATCTAATTATGATGAAAGGGTTTAAATTGTTTTAAAACCGGGTATTAGATTCCCTATGTATTGTTATGTCGATTGAAGTGTAACTTGTTAATTAATTCCTCTTTATTGTTAAAAAATAAATACGGGCTTTTTTCAAAGGATTTTACATTTATGAAAAATTATCAACATTTCCACTAATTCATTACAATTATGGTTTTCCGCAAAATAACTACACATTTAATTTTCCTACTTATTGATTTGTTGGCCGAAATTTACGTTGGTTACATAGTATTATATTACGTTACCGTAAGACTAACTACGCTTCCTTAGTACCAGTTACATCTAGAAATATTGTTTCACCGTCAGCCGTTGGAGGTAAGCCGAAAGAAATTCACAACTATAATTCTGACTTAAACATATAAGTTTTGATTGCCGGTACTGTTTTACGTATAAAGTCGAGTACAACCATTGTACATATAAAGTGAAGAGGGTCTCATAAGTGTGTTTCTTTTGTTATGCAAATCCATCTTTTTGGTCTTCAAAGATGGAGGAGTAGAATTGCGTACTGCACCAATTATCTTATGCCCTTATTTTTTTCTTTCGGCGTTTTATTTTTTGGTTTGCGCCTCAATTGATACTCTTGATTTGGATCGGTATTTGTTTTCTCCTTTGGTTCCTTTATTGACTGTAGCATCGCTTCAATTAGTTTTCAAAACCCTGGTATTATTGTATCTGTTCATAAGCGGAAGTATTGTATTACATGCTACATAATTTAGCGATGTTTCCGTTCATCCGTTTTTGAACTACATATTTTCGTATGTCGTCCATATCAGTTGCTTTAATTTATACTTATTCATTATGTACTCCCGTTTATTGTATGCGCCGAAGAACCTACACAGTTATTCTAGATTATATAAAATTACATTGAAGTTATAGAAAAAGAAAAAAAACGAAAGGAATAGAGTAATGACCTTGGAAGAAGTACTTGTGTATCTTACAGTGGTCTTTTTTTATAACGAACTATATTAATATTAATATTTCGGAAATCATAAAGAATAGAACGAATGTGAAATAAAAAATGGGGTACACTATGGCGTTGGGAATGAGATGGATGATCATTGTTGATAACAAACTCTTGCATTTGGAACTTCTAAATAAAGCATAACTTTTTATATATGAGCATCATGTTTGTTTGACTACTCTCGGATGTTGATAAACAAATTTCGGTTTTTCCCATCTTAGTTGTTATAGGCCAGAACAATTTTTTTAGATTGGATGGAAAAATTACAAATTGTTTTACAGAATTTGGTAAAAAGTACTTTATCAATAGCTTAGAGGTAGTGAATTTTGATCTGTGTGTTATTGTTGAAGAGAATGAAATGTTGAGTTGTAGATGATGAAAGAGGTGGAGAGAACATATAGGAAACATCTGCTTATAATAGAGAACGAAGTAATTAGGTTAAGGACAGTGGATAAGTGTGATGATGTAGCGAAGAAGTGTGATTTTCACAATTCAATGAACATAGATAATGTATTATATAATTATTATTAACTTTTCATATATTCAAAATTCAAAATAAACATCACAGTATGTTTATTGTTTTTTCCTTGTGATCTACATCCGACTTATCTATAATGTTCTCTAAGAACTTTTATTATTGTATATGTTCTTAGAGCACTGTTTGAAAATTTTCATTCTCCAGTATTACAAAGCTAGAGTTAAACATATTTACAATCATTAATTGTTTAAAAGTCATTGAGCTTAATAACTAATTGGAAAGGCAACTGACAAAAGAAAGGAAATTTGTGAGTGAAGATTGGATTACACCCTGAACTTTGATTATATCATTCTTCTGTATCCTTTTCGACAACTTCATCACTTTTACTTTCAGTCTTCTCTGGTGTTGTGATGCGAAGTTTTTTTGCTGCTGTACTTTTATCATAATCCAAGCTACTCTTTGTGTCTCCAATGGGTGCTGGAGTCACTGGAGAATGTTTGGTTCCACTCATGCGAGTGCGACAGAGGTCTGTCCATTCAGCTGTTGATAATTTTGGAGTCTTGACAGGTTCAGCTGTCAGTATAGTTGAATCTTTGACAGCACGTTCTCCTTCATCAGCTATGACAATACCTGTGAGTTGGAATATTTATATACTAATTGTCATGAGGGATTTGCTGTATTAAAAGAGATTATTAATTTATATATTAAGTACGTGATAAATTACAGACCTTTTGATGAGAACGGGATATTTGGTATTGGTATTTCTGAAATTTTTTCCTTTCCTTTGTCTTTTGCTTTTGAATCTGGTGTTTCTTCATTTGTTATTTCAACATTACTCCGTTGATGGTTGGTTGGTGTAAATGCTTCACTATTATTCGGGTCTGAATTTTCGGATTCAGCATTTCGTGCAACAGATAATTTTGCCTCATCTTTTTTTGATACATCATCGGAAGTGTCAATAGTTTTGAGCGACCACTCCAACACGTTGCTTGAACCAACGGAATTAGATGGACCGAGCTTGAAGAAAGTGGTTTTTTTGCGGAGTTTCTCTTCAATTTCTTGGAAACCAAATACATCGCCCTACACACTGTAATCGAAGTCATTGTATAAGTATCTTATTCACAAAAAATGTTGTACATAGATGTTAAAAAATGGCCTCACTGTATTTTAAATTTGTATAACAGTATTATTGAAAAGAGTCATACACAATCTTTCATAGTTTTGATTTCTGCTGCGGTTTTACCAAACATTTTCTCGGTATCATTGTTGAACGATGTCAATGTCATTGATCCTGTTACATTGACTACCTCAAATTTGAAAGCGACCCTGTACAATGCAGAAATTATGAAGTCAGTGGTAGGGTTTTAATTGTGGAATATGAAATGAATAATTTTATTATAGAATGTAAGGATAAAATATTAAACTATATACGATGCTTAATTGGATCGGAAATTTTACTCTAAAATAAATTAAAAACATTTGTACTATTAAATTATCTAGTTGCTTGATTCTATTATATAAGGGATCTAACAAACCTTGGAGCCGAAACACAATTTTTGTTGTCACAAAAGATACATGTAAACTGCTTTCCTTCTTGTACTCTGCATTTGTTCCCACACCGAGAGCAACCTGTATAGACAAATACATTGTCCAATGAAGCATTTGGAACGATTGCCTGTATCCAATGTCTTTCTTCCATTAACGAATTTGCAGCCTGAGAAAACGTTAGAAATAATATTAAAATTGTATGTTTTTTATTTATGTGGGTGCTTAACCAGTTTATATACCTTTTTTTCTTTCAGTTCTTCAATCGTTTTCATGGATGGTTCTTGTGTAGAATCTCTTATTTGTAGAACTCTTGCTTGTCTATCTTGTAGCAGCTGTTTCTGTGCAACAACCCTGAAAATATACGAAAAAAATTGGTTTTAAACTATAACATTTAGTTTTTATTCATTAATATTTGTTGTTCATTGTAATTACCATTCTCGTAACATGTTTGCCCTATCTCCTTTAGGATTATGAATTATTCTTGTAGACATAGTAGTTGATAAGGCAAATGCTGAAAAAGAAAGCACATGTTATTTTTTCAATTTTGTATGATCCAAATAAACAGTTATTTTTTGATTTTTTTTTTCTTCTGCTATAAATATTTCACCTCTGCGAGGATTATGTTTCAGTGCTGTAGAGCCAACAACGGTAAATTTTTCGGCCCAAAAGTTTAACGCATCACTTGCAGTTCCTGAGAGGTCATTCCATGCAGAGATGGTTAATGTTTGATTATGCCTGTGGTAAAGAAAGAATTAATTAGCCATGTTTTTCAACAAACTACATAATTTCATTAGAAAGTAATTTGTTGGATTGTTTTCTTTACGTCTGGTCTGTAATAACAATTTCTCGGACATAGCTTTCGGTATTATATTTGGAGTTGATTTGCCGTGCTGCTTCTTCTACAAATAATATCACACCCAGTACCTCTGTACAATTACCATCATTAAAAACACACAATATTATAGGATTATCTGTAATTATAGTTGAATCATTTAATTAGATGTATGTAAAATTTCAAAAGGACAACATGAACGACAAAATAACGTAAAAAATATTGTTTTCCGAAGTAATTGTCTCACTTAGTCGTAGAAATGTGTTAATAATTATGTGCTAAATGTTTTTAATTCACGTTTATGTTATAATAGAAACAATAGATTAAGTATAGGAGAATACCATATCTTTTATCAGCAACCTCTAGTTTTTGGGATTGAAGCTATTGACTGATATTGTGGTACCACATAACCAGTTTCAGTGCAAACAGGTTGGACAACCGTTCGATGATTGAAATGTAGTTGATAAGGCAGTTGATCATGGGTAGTCCGATATTGATCATCAATTGGCCTGACAGTTGCATTGGATATTTCGTATTCCCCATTGTATGCAATGGCTTCATCATATGCTTTGATTTGATCTCCAAAGAGAGTGACACGCATCTTGTTATTCTGGAATAAATATAAGGACAATTTCAAATTTGGTACCACTAAAACTGATGCACCTCAATTTTGCTACCTCTTAAAATTTTTTTTTTTATTATACTACCACTCAAATCAGTGTTGTCAAAATTCAGTACCATTTGACTGAAGCTGTTAAGTTTGCCGTTTGGTGGGCCCCACGTCAGTTAACTAACACCCTTTCAGTTCTTCTCTCTCCTACCTGAACTCTTCATTGCCTTCATTGAATACTCACAACCATCTCCATTAAAGGCTGAGTTAATTAA